ATACCTGTCGGCTGCCTCCGGAGTCCCACAGGCTAACCAAGCCCGATAGGACTCCTTCTTCAGCCTGGTGGCTCCCTTCACCTCTGGTGTCCACCATTTGGTTCGGGGATTACCACCACGGCAGGCACCAACCACCTTGCGGCCGCAGCTCAATGCAGCAGCTTCGGCAATGGAGACGCTGAACATGGTCCATTCGGACTCAATGTCCCCAGTCTCCCTCGGAATGCTGTTGAAGCTCTGCCGGAGGTGTGCGTTGAAGATCTCGCGGACTGGGGCCTCTGCTAGACGTTCCCAGCACACCCTCACTACGCGTTTAGGTGCACCAGGTCTGTCCAGCGTCCTCCCCCGCCACCTGATCCAACTCACCACCAGGTGGTGATCAGTTGACAGCTCAGCCCCTCTCTTTACCCGAGTGTCCAGAACATATGGTCGCAGGTCTGGTGATACGATTACAAAATCGATCATCGACCTACGGCCTAGAGCGTCCTGGTGCCACGTGCACTTATGGACACTCTTATGTTCGAACAGGGTGTTCGTTATGGCCAAACTGTGATTAGCACAGAAGTCCAATAACAAAGCACCGCTCGGGTTCAGATCAGGGAGGCCGTTCCTCCCAATCACGCCCCTCCAGGTCTCGCTGTCGTTACCCACGTGAGCATTGAAGTCTCCCAGCAGGACAACAGAGTCTCCAGGTGGAGCACCTTCCAGCACCCCCCCCAGGGACTCTAAGAAGGCTGGGTACTCCGAACTGCCACTCGGCGCATAAGCGCAGATGACAGTCAGGACCCGTTCCCCGACCCTAAGGCGCAGGGAACAAACCCTCTCGTCCACCGGGAAAAACCCCAACGTACCGGCAGCAAGCCGAGGGGATATTAGGATACCCACCCCAGCCCGCCGCCTCTCACCAGGGGCAACTCCAGACTGAGACAGAGTCCAGCCCCTCTCCAGGAGACTGGTTCCAGAGCCCAAGCCATGCGTAGAGGTGAGCCCGACTATATCTAGCCGGTACCTCTCAACCTCACGCACTAACTCAGGCTCCTTCCCCACCAGAGAGGTGACATTCCATGTCCCTATTGCCAGTCTTGGCAGCCGGGGGTCAGTCCGCCAGGGCCTCCGCTCCTGGCCGCCACCCGGCACACAATGCACCCGACCCCTATGGCGCCTCCTGCGGGTGGTGGGCCTGCGGGAGGATGGGCCCATGTCTCCTCTTCGGGCTGTGCCCGGCCGGGCCCCATGGACTAAGGCCCGGCCACCAGACGCTCACCCTCGGGCACCCTCCCCGGGCCTGGCTCCAGGGCGGGACCCTGGTAACCCTATCCCGGGCAGGGTAAACTGTTCCCTCGATATTCTTTTCATAAGGGTCTTCTGAATCGCTCTTTGTCTGGTGCCTCACCCAGGACCAATTTGCCATGGGAGACCCTACCAGGGGGCAAAAGCCTCCAGACAACATAGCCCCTGGGATCCCTGGGATACACAAACCCCTCCACCACGATAAGGTAGCAATTCAAGGAGGAGACATTGGTTACTTATTTTGCTTTTTATCCGTTGTGGCAGATAATTGCATCATACTTTTTATAACAGCAGACTCATACTATGGTAATACTGATTCATGAAATCTGACTCATTTAGTACTTTATTTTTAGTATAGGTGCACCAAAGTAAATGAAAATTGCCATATTAAGAGTATTTAAAATTTCATACTTACTTGCATTTTGTGACCAAGGATTAACATATCGCTCATTTTCTTGTAAAAGCTCAACCCGATTTTCCTCTCCCCAGTTCTGTTGGTTTGCTCTCGTGTATCTGACATTCAAGTTCAACTTTGGCGCAGCAGTTATATCTGTAGACATCTTAAAAAACTGTAGATTAGCCAGTTGTTGATGAGCTTTTGTGTTCTTCACTCTTCTGTCTGTTTTTTTACTATTCGTTTGCTTTAGAAGCAATAAAGATCAGCAACTGCTCCCCTCAACAGCAAATGGAATTTCACAGAAATGCCTTTGTGCATAACTGTTTCTGCCTGTTTTTTTTTTTTTCAAATAGTCTTTCAACACAGGAAGCATGACAAACCACAACCACAGATGCACAAATGGACATGAGATCAAGGCTTGTTTGCTGGTTTACGTTTAAGCTTATAATGTTTCAAACATTGAACATAAAGATCAATTTTAGTAAAAAGTAGATTTGATCCTAATAATTAAAAATAAATCTTGATCTTTCTATTAGCAATAATAAAAGCAACACTTTTTCCACTCTATGCAGGGGTGTTTTCACAGCTATGCATGCAATGCCCTTTTGTTTTTTCAGTGTCTCTTCAATGCAGGAAGTGACATCAAAGTAACCATAAATACACTTCTACACATGAGTCACGTCTTTACAGTTGACCACAATGTTTATACATGGAGGTATGACTCAGGTTAACATGATAAATATATTGATAATAACATTGTTACCATGGCACCCCAGTATAGGAGCACATTTCAGCGGTGTTCATCTTCCCTGTGTAAGACTGTTAAAAAAAAAGGTAATCAAAAGACATTTCTTCAGCTGCTCTCCTCTTCCCAAACCTCTCATTGCTACTTTTTCATAAGCCCTGTACTGGCCAACCAAACAATAGCTATGAAAACCCTCTGAAGGGAGGAAGCGGGGTTTGTGTGTCACTGGGATCCCAGGAGCTATGTTGTAGGGTATGGTCTTACATGAAAAATTGGTCTGGGATGAGTGACCCGACAAAGAGTGTTTTAGAGGGACCCTACGAGTACAACATCATGGGAACAGTTCCCCCTGCTTGGGATATGGGTTACTGGGGCTCCTACCTGGAGCTCTCCTCTATGCATTGCTTGGTCCCTGGAACCAGTTTCTTGGAGTGGGGCTGGACTCACCCTTGGTGAGGGGCGGGCTGGGGTAGGTGGTATAACCTCGGCTTGCTGCTGTACATTGGGGGCTTTTACCAGTGGATGAGAGGGTTTGTGGCCACAGTTGATGCTTTGCCTGGCTGCTCAACAATCATTGGGACAACTTCCTTCCTAATTTCCTGGTTTCTATAGTGCCCAGGGATTTGCAGTTTTGGTTGGGCCGTGACCAAACCAAAATTGCTTGGGATGTGGATTTGGTCCTTGGCACCCGTCAGCATCCTCCCTGTGAGCTAGCTACTCATTACCATAGCATCGGCAGGAGGATTTGCGAGCTCCATGCATTTGGCCAGACACTATTCAGTTCCACCTATCCCTGTATCTAGTCTACGGTCTCTTCCCTCTAGGTTAGACTACGAGGTAGCTGTGTGCCAGGCAGCTCTGTGACTTTCCAGGTCTTCAGAATATATTATGCGCATTCAGACATTAGGAAGACACACCAGCTTGCGTCTGCTTGGGCAGACCATTGTCTAGCCCAGGGCTGTAAGAGGAGTAGAACCCATGCGTGTTTTCTCCACTGTCTGCCTAGTCTTGTGGGCTGATCACAGTGGTTACTCCCTTACATTGCAGCCGCGGCATCCTTCACCCAGGCTTGGGTCTTGCAGACTGATAGCATCTGCTTCTTAGGCTTGTTATTTGCATCGGATAGAGCCATGACCTGTTGTCTAGGGTATTGGACTGCATTGTCTCCTCTTGGGAATTGTCTTAAAGAGTTACACCATACATATAGAAAATGTTACGATGTGAGTATTCTCGATGTAATAGAGAATGAATGGTTAATTTGTAACCTTGGTTTCTCTGAGTGAGAGACTCCAGCTTTGAGTGTGCTCGGCGATGCATTACGATCAGAAAATCACCCGTTTCACACACAGCTAATTTATACATAAGCTATCGAGCATGGTCGGGCTACCTCGAGAATGTCTTAAAGAAGTATTCACATGCTCTTAATAAGGGGGGCATTCTTCATACATATGGAATATGAAATGGAGTCAAGCGAGTGAAGCGTCTCTCGCTCAGAAAACCAGTGTTACAAAGTAACTTTTTCATTTTTCATTTCTTATTTCTTTAATTTCTTCATGTTAGAAGACACATCATGGTATAGCAGTTACCGTAAGGCAAACAAAGGATCACTAGTGCAATTCCAGCCAATAAACACAATACCTAATACCTAATACCTAATACCTAATAAACACAAATGCCTTTTGATGTTGTATCAAAAAGGGCATTCGGAACAAAACCACATTTAAAAAAAATTAAGACAGTATTTTAGTAGTTCTAAAAGCCATATACTGTGGAGTAGTAGTTAGCACTATTGCCCGACAACAAGAAGGCTCTGAAGGCTGTGTGGAGTTTGCATCTTTGTGGGTTCTCTCCAGGTTCTCCGTCTTGCTCCCATAGTCCAAAGACAAGCAGCTAGTGGGGTTAGGCCAAATGATGATTCTAAATGTTGTTACGGCTGCCGTCGTGGGCTGGGGTTCTGACATGTAAATGTGAGTGTGCAGGTGCGCCTCCAGGAGTGGTGGATCCCGAAGATGGTGTGACAGGATTGACTGCTGCTCTGGAGGCGGAGTATAAGACGCCGCGGCTGAGGACGGCAATTATCCATCCTCGGTTTTACCCCAACCGGCTGGGGCTGTGACATGCCCTGTGTTGCTTTGTGAATCCAGGAGAAAGAAGGGGTGGATCGCCTTTTCAGTTGGGCACAGTTTTCTCTTGTTTAGTTAGTCAGGGAGGTAAGTGATTAAAGGAGCTTGCAAAGAAAAGCACCTGGACTTCTTTAAGTTGCTTGAAGACGTTTCACCTCTCATCCGAGAAGCTTCTTCAGTTCTAAGGTCAAATGGTGGAGAGTCCCAGATATAAA